TGAGCACTTAACCACTGTGTCCCCATGGCTTCTGAGCATCTGCTCACTGTCGTATAATTTCTGGTTAAACTCTCTGCGAAAGCAGGCATTTTCTACCCCATTCATTTCTCCACTTCTTGGAGTACTGCAGTTTGGGCTTTATAATAGTTACTAAGTAAATATCTTGAGTAAATTAATAATAGCTAACAGTCCTGGTGTGGTGCTGTGGGTTAATGCGCCAGACTGCAAAGCCGTTTGAACTGCAAGGGCGGGGGTTCAAGCTCACCAGCTGCTCCTTGGAAACTCTATACAGGGTCGCTATGGGTCGGAATTGACTCGACGGCACTTCACAACAACAAGAGCAACAACTGGAGTTCTGGTGTGGTGCTGTATGATTAGCATTCGACTGCTTGCCACAAGGTCAGCAGTTCAAACCCACTAGCCATTCTTTGGAAACCCTATGCAGTTCAGAGGATAACTCAATAACTTTAGGAGAGTTTAATTCCATTTTAATGGATGAGGAATCTAAGGCTCAAAAAGATTAAATAATTTGTATGCAGAGTTGCTTGGTGAATAAGTAGTTGTTATTAAGTGCCATCAAGTCAGTTCTGACTCATAGCAACCCTGTATAGGGTTTCCAAGGAGTGTCTGGTGGCTTTGAACCACTAACTTTGTAGTTAGAAGTCCAGTGCTTATTGTAGAGCACCGCACCAGGACTCTGAGTAAGTAGTAGGGCCAAGGTAGTAATCCAGGGTGGCCTGACTCCCAACCTTCCTAATCATAGATTCCTACTGCTCCACATTCCCCTCATGCTACCCAGGATGGGGCAAAGGGCAAGTCCTTAGCAAACCCTCGGGAGGCCGTTGACAGGATGATTAAATAGATTTTCCGAAGCAGTGGTGCATCTAATTTTGGAGAGTGGTACCTCGTGTGTGGCCAGGGAGAGAAGACCTGTGAGGCGTCCAGGCTCACTGGTTATGGGGCCATCTTATTCCGAAGAAGGATCTGGGTTCCTGAGAAACCAGCCTGAAAGGCTCCTGACACACCTAGGAAAGAGCTCTGGGCGCTCCCTGCAAAGCCCACATCATCTGACCCAACCTAATTCCCTAGATATTCCCCTCACTCATTCTGTCTCTAAGGAGCTCTGGTAGTGTAGTGGTTATGAGTTGGGCTGCCAACCGCTAGGTCAGCAGTTCGAAACTACCAGTGGTTCCGTGGGAGAAAGATGAGGCATTCTGCTCCCATAAAGATTTACAGCCTCGGAAACCCTGTGCAGGGTCACTATGGGTCAGAACCGACTCCACGGTATTTAACCCAGGATTCTTGCTGTTCCGAAAGCATGCCTACCATGGATTGAATGATGTCCTCTACAAAGTATGCATCAATTTGGTTAGGTTAAGATTCTCAATACTGTCTGGTTGGTTGTCTTCCATTGGTGATCCTATGTCATTATCCTTCATGTTGTGCCGTGCTATCAATCCTGATCTCTATGTATTAATGAAGGAGCCCTGATGTTGCACGGGGTTAGTAGTTGGACTGCTAACTGAAAGGTCAATGGTTCGAACCCACCAGCTGCTCTGTGGGATAAAGATGAGACAGTCTGCTTCTATAAAGATAAGCATCTTCTATAAAGCCTCAGAAACCCAAAGAAGAAGTTCTACTCTACCCCTTAAGTCAGAATTAACTTGATTACAAGGGAATTGTTTGTTGTTGTTGTTGTTGTTTTCTTGTATGTGTTAATGAGACAGGATTGGGTTCTGTTAATGAGGTAGGATTAGAGTGGGATATAACACCCTTACTCAGATCACAACCCTGATCCATATATGGGGCATTTCCCTGGAGTGTGGCCAACATCACCTTTTATCTTAGAGACCAAAGGAGAGAGAAGCCAAAGACCCAGACACTATGACTCCCAAGAAGGACCCCAACAGAGATCAAGGAAGGAGGGAAGGGACGACACCAGCACCATCAAGAAAGAGGAGCCAGGAGCGGAGCATGTCCTTGGAGCTGAGGTCCCTACACTAAGAACCTCCTAGACCCAGAAGATGGATGCCAAGACACATGCAGATCTCCAAAGAATGCCAGGTCCAGTGATGTTGAACAGAGATAAGGATCTTCCCCCAGAGCCAACAGAGAGAGATGGCCTCCCCCTAGAGCTGGGGTCCTGAATTCAGACTTCCAGCCTCCTACAGTGTGAGAGAATACATTTCTGTTTGTCAAAGCAGCCACTCATGGTGTTTCTGTTACAACAACACTGGAGAAGCGAGACCACAGCAAACCCAGTCATGCCTCAAGTCATTACAACCGCTTCTTCCTCTGCCTGGAAGCCCCTTCTCTCTGTTCCTCTTCATCCTGCTTCTCAGATCACCCTGCCTTAGAACACCACCCTTCCCTCTCTGCTGTTTGTTACCTAACAGCTTTTGTGGCACGCATATGTGTTTGTTTTCCTATTTGTTCCTGGCTTCCCCGCTCCACAGGAAGCTTCTTGAGAACCTTGTCTTGTTCTTGCCCTGGTAAAGTGACGGACACAGAGTGGGTACCCAGCAAATACTGGTTGCATCGATAAGTGGATAGGTTTTATCCCTTTTAGACACATTGGGAAGTCAGCTCACTTGACCCAGACACTGTGACTCCCAAGAAGGCCCCCAACATAGAGATCAAGGAAGGAGGGAAGGAGCGAACAATCCACTATGTTCCACTTTGCATCAATAGCTAAGACTCAAGGATGATTTGTTTCATAGCCAGGAAACCAAAGCTTGCTCTCTGCCGGGTCTCCACTGCCGGGAGCAACTCCTGACACACATATCCAGTAACTGGAAGTGCACTAAATTGAAAAGGTTCAGAGGAGCCCTGGTGGCACAAGGGTAAGTGTTTGGCTGCTAACAGGCATCAGCGGTTCGAACCCACCAGGTGCTCCGTGGGGAAAGATATGGCAGTCTGCTTTCATAAAGACTGCTCTTTGCCATCCAGCTGAGTTCTCCTCTATTCTATAGGGTTGCTGTGAGTTTGGAATTGACTTAGCAACAATGAGCGTTTTGAAGAAGATCAGCAAACAGCTTAAGGTTACTGCGTAGGGAGTGGAGGAACCCAAATTCATCCTCAGTGCTATCCTAGCCACACAGCGTTTTCATACTTCACCATGCAGCCACCACAGGCACCCATGAAAACGCTAGGGACACAACCCTGTTAGTATCCACACACATTTGAGGGTCGACCTTTTACCCATGACACATGACCATCCTGCACCTGAGGCTGCTTTTAATAAGGCCATGGCCTCAGCTTGTGCAAACCTTCCACTCTGAGCTTCACCCAGCCTGCTCCCCCAACTGTCTACTTCCTATCTTCTACCATAAAAAGTGGGGGATAGTGACAAACATCATATACTACAAATGCCTTTGGATGCCAACTGTCTTTTTTTTTTATTATTATTAATATTAACTCTAGTTTTCTCTGTGGCAGTTTCTCTTTCCAATGTGGTACAATAGGAAGACTTCCTAGAATCTTCTGAGCCAGAAGGGACCTTAGTGACCATTAAAAGCATACAGCAAATTTTTTCTGTGAGGGGCCAGATAACAAATATTTTCGGCTTGTGGGCCAAGGGACAAAATCAAGGATATTATGTAGATTTTTTTCATGTGTAATAAAATATGGTTCATCTTTTGATTTCTTTTTTCAATCATTTGTAAAAATGTAAAAAGCACTCTTCGCTCACAGATTGTAAAAAGCAAGTGGCTGGCTAGATGTGGTTTGGGATCCACAATTTACTAGTCACAATCCTAAAGCCCAAGTCCTGGGGCGATGCTGTAGGATAATGCACTGGAACTCAAGGTCAGTTTGAACTGCAAGGTCAGTGGTTCAAACTCACCAGCTGCTCCTTGAAAAAAAACTACACAGGCTCATCACTATGAGTCAGAACCAACTAAACAGCACTTAACAACAATCTTAAAGCCATGTTTTCTTAAACTCGGACATGCTTAAAAATCGCCTGTCAAGCTTGTTAAAGCATTCCTGGGCCCACTTTCCTGGTCTAGTAGGTCTGGGGTGGAACCATGAACTTGTATATCTGACAGGTGGACAGTTGTTGCCAGTGCTGCCTGACCATCAAACCCAATTGAGTCATGAAGCTAGTCCAAGCTTTCCCATCTATGGATGGGGAAACGGAGGCCCAGGGAAGTGATGTGTCCCGAGGTATAGCCTGGACCAGGTAATGAGATCCGCTTTGTCACAGAGCTGGCGTAGCAAAGTGCCTATTTCCTTTCCAGTCATTGTACACACTCCTCTCTTGGCCTAGACTAGCTCCTGCTCTCACGCTCACAAATGCAATTTCCCACCAAGATCCAGCTTGGATGTCACCTCCTCTAAAGCATCCCTTGGCCTCCTCCAATCCATCCGCTCCTTCCCCAGGTACCCCAGCAGTGCATGTAGTTGTGTATAACCATCTGTATATGTGCCCATCTGGAAAGCTAGGGAACGATCTTACTCCTTTTTATAGCTAACCCTCATCTTTCTCCCACGGAGCAGCTGGTGGGTTTGAACCACTGATCTTTCTAGTTAGTAATTGAACAGTTTAACCAGTGTACCACCAGGACTAATCACCCTTTGGCCAATAGGAGATGCCTCATTCACACAAACTGAATGAAAAGGAAGAAAAGGGAGAAGAAAGGAGGCAAGGAAAGGGGGTTGGTGAATGGATGAATGAACACTCTTAGCTATATATTAGTTGAAAATAATTTTCATGGCTAAATTGAGATTCAATCCCAATTCTGCTAGTGTACAAACTAGAGACTATCCCACAGTATTTATATGTCCAGGCTATAAACAGTAACACTTACGTTGTGTTGTGTAATCTAGGCCAGACTTAGTGCTGAACCTCCTGCCGTCCCCTCAATAACAAGAAAATAGGTGCTTAGAGAGACAGTAGTGAGCCCACCAGCTTCTAGGCCACCCTGCCTCTCCTCTTCCTGCCCTCCACCAGGGCCCTCAGCCTTCCGTCCACCCCAGCGGGGCCCAGGCGGGCTCACCTCCATCAGCATAGGTCTCCGTGCCATAGCCATCCTGCAGGCCGTTGCTCCAGGTACCCTCATACTTGGCACCGCTGCTGGTGCTCTGCCGAGTGCCGTAGCGCCCCTTGAAGCCGTGTGTCCATTCGCCCTTGTAGATCCAGCGCCCCTTGGTCTCTATGCCCAGCCCGTGCCGCTTGCCCTGGCTCCAGTACCCCTCGAAGGTGTTCCCACTGGGCCAGGTGTAGACGCCTGCCACCTCAAACCCAAAGTTCCAGGAGCCTGAGTACTCGCCCTGGCCCTTAGGGCCTGTGCACAGTCCATGCCCGTGGGCTTTGCCCGCCTCCCAGCCTCCACAGTACGCCCCGCCATCATCAAAGTCAAAGCGGCCCCCACTCATCTCATCGTAGCCCCCCACCACTTCCCGGTTCTCCAGCTTGAGTTAGGAGGGCAGCTGGAGTTGGGCCCCCAGACTCACCACCACGGCTCAGAAGAGGGATAGCGAGCAGCCACCAGAGGCTGAGAGCGCCCAGGGGCCAAGTCAGCACTGGGCCGGCTGGTCAGTGCCATGCCTGGGAGGCCCCCAAGGAGCCAGAGGCAGGCGGCCAGTGGGAAGGAAACAGGAAGAACAGAGTCAAAGTCCCCCAAGCCTCCCAAGTTTGGCTTCCATGGAGTCAAAAGGGAAAAACGGTGTGATCCCTTTAAGAAGCACAGTAAAAGGGGAGAGGTGAGGGGCCCCCAGTCCGCTTCAAAGAGAGGGAATCCCCTTCGGTGACAGCCCCCAGCCTGAGGCTGAATTCCCGGCTGCTGGCCCCCTTCTCCTCCACCCAGTGGGCGTGTGGGGCTGTCGGTCTCCCAGGCGCTGCCCCGCCCCTTCTCCAATCCTGCCCTCCTCCTCAGACGGAAAGGTCAGTGTTGCCCTAACAAGGCCATCGGATTTCAGAAGCTGCTCCCAAAATAACCCCCCTGGCCTGGCCAGCCTCCTTTAGAGCGGGAGGGGGGCGTTTCAAATTGGCCTGGCTTTCAGGCCCAGGGAGTGGTTGAGGGATGAGGAAGGGAAGCTGAGAGCTAAGTGTGGGTAGCCTGGCAGCGAGGTATCTACACTTCCCTAGAGTAGGGGCTCCCTTCCACCCCGGAGTCCCCTGAGTCTAAGGGAGGGAGAAGCAGTGAGGAGGAAGACAAGCAGAACACTCAGTCCTGGAACACTTCAAACCCCCCTGATGGTGGAAGTGGGCAGCTCCCAGCCCACCACTCACCTTTCACAACTGGACCCGGGGGCTACAGCACCCCGCCAAGCCCAAGAAGGAATCCAGTGACCTAGAGAAAGGAATGGGGACCTCTGAATGCTGAGGAGGCAACCCGGAAAGAGGGGAGGCAAGGTACACAGTCCAAAAGCCTGCACCTCTGAGGCCAGCCCCAAATCCCGGCTCTGGGGTTCCTGGTTAGAACCTAATGTAAACCTCACCATCTGCTCCCCTTCTGTCTCCCCCAAAGGGTAAATACCTCCTCTGAAGGGAAGCAAGTTATCCTTGGAAGGAGGTCATCTCAGAACAAGGATCATGATCTCCACCCCCACCCCAGCTCTAGTGTCCTGTGAATTGTGGGTTGGCTTCAGGAAGCTCTGGGGGCAAAGGGCCTGGGTGGATTCCCAGCACCCAGGTTCCCACTAACTCCAGCAAAAGGGACAAATAAATCTCTGTGACAGGAAGCTGTGGCCAAAACTAATGGCTGGAAATCCCAACTTTACCCAGGTTGACAGGAGGAGAGGGTAATTCTGGGAAAGGTAAGTGCCACCAAGAAAAAGGAGCTGTTTGGGTGGGGGCGTGGGGGATAGTGAGACTACAGGGAGAGAAATCACCAAAAAATGTAAGCCCAGAAGGCACTAGAAAACAATAGACTATTCTCTGACTTCACCTTACTGGTCAGACTCCAAATCTCATGTTGATTTAGCCAAAAAGTTTTTCTTGTTTCGAAAACAGGTAGAAAATGCCCTCTCCCTTCATCCCAGTTGATCACTAGTTCTTATGACTTAGTTCCTTCTCTCTCCCTGAAAGAGCCCCTTCTGTTTCTACTTTTCATCACCAGCTAGGAATACTGAGACCTTCAAGCTTATTATTATCAGGAACCGGAGCAGATGAAAACAGTATTTTACTATGTAGGTAGTTTGATTTGCCACCTGACCAAGCTGATGGGCAGCCTGTTTGTACAATCTGTCTCCAGAACTGTGCTTTTCCTCTCTCTTAGATGGAGACAAAAACTGAAGCTGTTAGTGATTTCAGCAATGTACATGAAGCAGCAGTCAAGAAATCAAATGGCATATTGCACTAGATGAATCTCCAGAAGACCTCCTCTTTAATCTTTTAAAAAGCAAAGATGACTTTGATGCCTAAGGCACATCTGATCCAAACCAAGATCTTTTTAAGGGCCTCATATGCATGTGAAGACTGGACGATGAAAAAGGCAGGCAGAAGAAAATTTGATGCAGTCAAAGTGTGGTGTTGGTGAAGAATACTGACTGTACTGTGGGCTGCCAGAACAAACAAATCAGTCTTAGAAGAAATAAATCCAGAATGCTCCTTCGAAGTGAGGATAGCAAGACTTTGGTTTACTTTCTTCGGACACACTATAAGGAAAGACCAACTCCTAGAAGCCATTGTGTTTGCTGGAGTCCCTCCATAAAATGAACTGTCACGGTACCACAACAAAGGATTCAAATGCACCAGTAATGACGACAGCACAGGATGGGACAACGTTTTGTTCTGTTATACACAAGGCCGCCCTGAGTTGGGGCTGACTTAACAGCAGCAAATAACTCCTCTAGGTCTTCATTGAATTATGAGTTTCCTTTCCACTCCGCAGCCAGGAAAGAGGGAATTGCATCTCAAACTGGAAGCTAGATGGTTTGGGGTTGCCTGAGTTCAAAGGAGCCCTCGTGGCACTATGGGTTAAGTGTTGGGTTGCTAACCACAAGGTCCATGGTTCAAACTCACCTACCAGTTGCTCCTCTGGAGAAAGATGAGGCTGTCTGCTTCTATAAAGATTTCCAGATTTGGAAAGCTTAGAGAGAGTCACTATGAGTCAGAATCAATTGGTGGTACAGGGTTTGGCGTGGGTTTTGAGTTCAAAACCCATTGTAGTTAAATGCTGGGCAAGTCACCATGATCCTGTTCTAAGGCTGCATAGCTGCTGTGTCCCATAGCAACCTGTCCTGCCTGCAGAAATCTAGCCATTTTCAACCACAGAAGCTCCTATGTTGGTTCCCTACCAGTACAGGTACGTTAGAATCATCCACGTTGTCAACTGACATCAAGTGGGTTCCAACTCATAGTGTCCCTGTATAGGGTTTCTGAGTGGTTGGTGGGTCTGAGCCGACCTTGCAGTTAGCAGTCCAGTGTTGATCCTACAGCTTCACAGTAGGACCCCATAGTGTGCACATAGTTTGAGTTAGATATGTGTTCAAATCCTGATTCTGCCTCTCATGAGTTGTGTGACCGTGGATTAACATTACTTTCTACAAAGTACAGTTTCTTCACCTGTAAAAATGGGAGGCAGAAGAATGCCTCCCTCAAAGCAGGGCTCAACACCCTGCCGAGAATTTGCATTTCTACCCCAGATATACTGAATCAGAATCTACATTTTAATAAGAATCTATATTTAACAAGGAGCTCTGGTAGCGTAGTGGTTACGAATCAGGCTGTGAACCGCGAAGTCAGCAGTTAGAAACTACCAGCTGTTCTGCGGGAGAAAGATGAGGCTTTCTGCTCCCGTAAACATTTATAGCCTCGGAAACCCTGTACAGGGTCGCTATGGGTCAGAACCGGCTCCATGGCACATAACCACCACTATCACATTTAACAAGGTCAGTGGTTCAAACCCACCAGCTGTTCCTCAGAAACCCTATATAGGGTAGCTATGAATTGAAACCCTGTACAGGAAGGCACTTAACGTGTTGTTGGGAAGTGCTGTCGAATTGGTTCCAACCCATAGTGACCCTGTATAGGGTTTCTGAGGAGCAGCTGGTGAGCTTGAACTACCAATCTTGTGATTCAAAGAGACTGCAGTCCAGCACATTAACCCACAGAGCCACATCAGGACTTAGATCTTAAGTATGTGTAAGAATCATCAGGGGATCGATCCTGTTAAAATATAGAATCTGATTCAGTCAATCTGGGATGGAAATGCAAATTCTCAACAAGGGGTCCAACAGAAATTAACTAATTGAAAACCCTGCCTCAAAGGATTATAGTATTAAGAATAATGCTACCTATTAGGGCTCTGGTAGGCACTGTAGGATCAGAACTGGACTGCAACCCACAAGGTCAGCAGTTCAAACCCCACCAGCTGCTCTTTAGAAACCCTATACAGGGTAGCTATGAATTGAAACCAACTCGATGGCACTTAACAAGGGCTGGGAACATGGTGGTTCTGTAGGATAAGCACAGGACTGTGAATCACAAGGTAGGTGGTTCAAGTCCACTTACTGAGGTTTCCCGCTTCTTCCAAGATTTACAGCCTTGGAAACCCCATACAGAGTCACTATGAGTTGGGACTCAAGAGCACTTACCAACCACCGCCTTATAGGCCTGGGTGAGGACAACATGAGAATACTGGAGAAAAGGCACAAGATACAATAAATACCTACCAAATGTTAGCTGGAGTGCTGGTGTGGCGCTGTGGGTTAATGCGCTGGACTGCAAAGTTGGCTTGAACAGCAAAGTCTGCCGCTCAACCTTACTAGCTGCTCCTTGAAAACCCTATACAGGATTGCTGTGGGTCAGGACTAGGCAGCACTTAATAACAGTAAGCTATTATTATTCACACAATAAGCTGCTTTTAAGCTTAATAAACCGTTACCAAAGAAGGTAAAAGGAACAGCATGGAGACTAGTACTTTGGCACTGAGATCTCTTATCTCTCCCCAGTTCACGTTAACTATTAATTACCTCTTGGTTTCTACTCTCTTCTTTCAACTGCTAAATTACTGATAAAGGGCCTCTTAGATGTCAAAATTTGGTCAGATTACCAGGGGTCATGGAAAAACTGATTCCATCACTTTTTAGAACCTACTTTTCCCCAGTGTTACGAATCAAGCTGCTAACCTCAGAGTCAGCAGTTCAAAACTACCAGCTGTTCCACTGGAGAAAGATGAGGCTTTCTGCTCCAGTAAAGACTTACAGGCTTGGAAACCCCATGCACATTACCCCTACCAAATCTCCCCAGTTGTTTGTTTTAGGAAACAAGAAAGGATAAAGGGAGAAGGGAGACCTCTTGTGGCCAATTGTGTGTGACAACAGATTTTCCTTAGGAAAGCAAACTTGAGACTAAACTGAATTTGTTCCATGGAATCTGTTCTGACTCATAGCAATCCTGTATAGGATTTCCATGCAATGGCCGGTGGGTTTGAACTGGCAACGTTTTTGGTTGGCAGTCCAGTGCTTATCCTTAAAATGAAATTTAAACTGTTCTCTCTCATTTCTAGGTCTTTACTTACTCCATGGACTTCTAGTGTGGTGCTATAGAATAAGCACGGGACTGTGAACCACAAGGTTGGCAGTTCAAACCCATCAGCTGCTCCTCGAAAACCCTATACAGGATTGCTAGGAGTCGGAACCAACTCAATGATCTTAACAACACTTACTTCACACTTGTGCCTTCTGGCTGCTTCCTGGAGCAAGAGAGGGAGGGATGAAAAATCCAGGCGAGAGAACTGCACACAGAACTCGACCTGAACTCTTCTCATCTATTGAAAACTCAGCTGAGGAAGCTCCCCTCCCCATGAAGTCTTCCCAGACAGTAGTTTCCTGGTCAGGTTAAGTCCCCTTCCCATGTGTTTCCTGACCTTGATCAATGCATGTCATTTTAATAAAAGAACTAACTGTCTTCCCCTGACCCATGAGCTGTTTGAAGAAAAAGAGAAAAGACCAGCATAAACAGCTCTGGTAGCGTAGTGGTTACGAATCGGGCTGCAAACCTTAAGGTCAGCGGTTCGAAACTACCAGCTGCTCCGCGGGAGAAAGATGAGGCTTTCTACTCCCGTAAAGATTTACACCCTCGGAAACCCTGTACAGGGTCGCTATGGGTCGGACCCGACTCGACGGCACTTAACAACAACAACAATGTGCCCAGCACCCCAGTTGGTACATTTTTGCATGAGGGGGCTTCCAAAAATTCATGGAAAAATGGAACTCAAAGATAATGGAATTTTTTCATGAACTTTTAGCCCCGTCATGCACCCAATGCCTACCCATAGTGGGTGTGTCTCATCTTTCTCTCTCAACAGCATTGGCAGATGATCACCCCCATCTTGAAATGCCTTTTCACTTGTGAAGATCCCTCATTGGAGTAGAAGCTAGTTAGTTCCTCCTCATTCCCCTGACCTCTAGACCTTGGGAATGCCCATCGACTTGGTCCTCTGACCATTTACTTCCTTGTTATTGTTAAGTGGCCTCAAGTTGGTTTATAGGGACCCTGAATAGGGTTTCCTATGAGCGGCTGGTAAGTTTGAACCGCTGACCTTGTGGTTCACACTGACCTTGAGGTCGTGTGCTTATCCTATGGCGCCACACCAGGACTCCACTTACGTCCTAGGCATGGTTTTAAGTAACATATAGTGATGGCTCCCAAATTTGTTATCTCCAGCTCATAACTCTTTTCAATCTCATCATGTCTCCAACTACATACTTAACATCTCTATATTAACATCTCAAATGTAACAAGAACAAAACCAAACTCTGGATTTCTCCTCTGAGATCTGGTCCTTTTCAACAAAACAAACGGTGCCTACACATCTGGACCTCAGCAGATGGGATACACAGGAATAATATCAAGTGTATCTGTGGATAGAGACAATGAAGTTCAGTATCATCAGGTAGGGCATGGCCAGGGCCAACTGCAGAACAAGCCACTGCTCATGTGCAAGTTCAGTAGAAACTGAAGAAAATGGAACCAAGTCAAACAAAAGCCAAATACCACTTTGAGTATATTCCACTTGGATTTGGAAAAGTTTCAAGAGATTTGACAAATTGAATGCTAATGTCCAGACAAGATGTGGTATGGTATCAAGGACATCATATATAAGGAAAGCAAAAGATTAAAGGATGAAAAGACCAAAAGAGATGTCAGAAGAGACTCTGAATTTGATTCTTGAACGTGTTAAGAGCTGTTGAGTTGGTTCCAACCCATAGCGACGCTGTATAGGGCTTCTGAGGAGCTGGTGAGCGCGAACAGCTAATCTTGTGGTTCAAATTGACTTTGCAGTCCAGCACATTAACCCACAGCGCCACATAAAGTGAATGGAAAAAATGATGCAGTAAAAGAATGGAAGATTTCAAACGGCAGCATCAGAAAACAAAGCAAAGTATTATAATTAAATGCGTAAAGACCTGGCATTGGGAAGAACACACTCAGTATTTTTCAAGTTGAGAGAACTAAAGAAAAAAAACCTCAAGCCTCGAATTATAATACTGAAGGATTCTATGAGCAAAATATTGAACGATGCAAGATGCATCAAACAAAGGTGAAAGGAATAGACTTACTGTACCAAAAGGAATTGGTCAATGTGCAGCCATTTCAGGAGGTAGTATGTGATCAAGAATTAATGGTATTGAACAAACAAGTGCAAGTTGTACTGAAGGCACTGGAAAAAATAGGACTCCAGGAATTGACAGAATACCAATCGAGATATTCCAACAAGCAGATGCAATTGTAAGCACTCATCTATGCCAAGAAATTTGGAGGACAGCTACCTGGCTGGTCAACTGCAAGAGATCCATATTTATGCCCATTCCAAACACAGGTGACCCAACAGATTGCAGAAATTATCAAATGGTATCACTAATATCACATACAAATAAAATGTTGCTGAAGATAATTTAAAGCAATTACGTTGTATTGACAGCAAACTGCTAGAAATTGAAGCTGGATCCAGAAGACAACAAGGCATGAGGGATGTCACTGCTGGTGTCAGATGGATCTTGGTTGAAAGCAGAGGATACCAGAAAGATGTTCACCTGTGTTTTATTGACTATGCAAAAGTATTCCACTTTGGGAGCATAACAAATTATCAATAACATTACAAAGAATGGGAATTCTAGAACATTTATAATGTGTTAAGGCCAAATCCTTTCAACATACTTATTTGATCTGTATGGTCAACAATTAAAGGACTTGAAACCCTTATAGATGAAGATCAAAGACCTAGTATGGATTACACCTTGCCATAAAGCAAACAAAAATCCTCACAACTGAACCAATAAGCAACATCATGATAAACACAGCAAAGATTAAAGTTGTCAAAGATTTCCTGTGTCTTAGATCAACAATCAACACCTATGAAAATAGCAGTCAAGAAATCTGATGACAGCTTTTATTGGGCAAGCCTGCTGCAAAAGACCTCTTTAAGGTGTTATAAATCAAAGATGTCATTTTAAGGACTAAGGTGCACCTGACCTAAGCCATGGTATTTTCACTTGCTTCATATACTTGGGGGACTCCTGGTGTGGCACTGTAGGATCAGTACTAGACTGCGAACCACAAGGTCGGCAGTTCAAACCCACCTTGGAAACTCTACACAGGGTTGAGTCAAAACCAACTCAACAACACTTAACAGCAGCATGTACACAGAAAAGCTAGACAGTGAATAAAAGGAAAATTGATGCCTTTGAATTATAATGCAAAGAATATCAGACCCCAGAAGAACAAATTTACCTTACAAGTATAGCCAGAATGCTCCTTAGCTGTGAGATGGAGAAACCTGGTACAGGCTTCCTAAGACTGTAAATCTTTCCAGGAGTCTCATCTTTCACCCAGAGTGGTTGGTGGGTTTGAACTGACAACTCTGTGGTTAGCAGACAGTGCTTAACCCAAAGCACCAAAAACTCCATAATTCAAGCTTAACCCATTTTAATTAAGCTGTCTGTTCCACTTTTGTTGTTACAGGCCATCAAGTCAGTTCAGACTCAGTGATCCTATATAAGGTTTCTGAGGAGTGGCTGATTGAGTTTGAACTTTGTGCTTACCAGTCCAGCGCTTAGTCTACACTGCCACACTAGAGAGTTAAGTGCCACTGGCTCAGTTCTGACTCATAGAAACCCTATACAGTTCGCAAGCAGCAGTTGGTAGGTTTGAAATACCAATCTTGTGGTTCGCAGTGCTGATTCTACAGCACCATGCCAGTTCATGCCACACTAGACTGCTGTTGTTGGTACCATTAAGTTCATTCCGATTCACAGTGGCCCTGTACAGGATTTCCAAGTAGTTGGTGAATTTCAACCTTGCAGTTCAAACCTACTTTGTGGTTCAGTGAATTATCTAATGGCCCACCAGGACTCCATACCACACTAAGTTGTTGCTGTTAAGTGCCGTCAAGTTGTTTCCTATCCATAACAACCCTGTATAGGGTTTCCAAGGAGCGGCTGGTGAGCTAGAACTGCCGACCTCGTGGTTCAAACCAACCTCGTGGTCCAATACATTATCCTACAGCACCACGTCAGGGCTCCACATTTGACTAGCGGTTCTCAAAGTGTGGTCCAGGAATCCCTGGGAGTCCCAGCAGGGGCTTCGAGGTTAAAACTATCTTCATGGTTCTAAGACATCATTTGGCCTTTTTCATGCTTTTTCTCTCACAAGTGTCCAGAAGCTTTCTGGAGACCATGCCAACAAAGACTGAAGACAGAGCAGATATGAGAACCCAGCTGTCTTCTGGTAAAGCTAACCTTCAAGAGGCTGGCAAACATTTTAACACAATGGCACTCTTTTCAAGTTTTCTTTAGGTTTATATGTTATTTTTCATTTAAAAAAAGAAGCTAGTTATGGTAACATAAGAGCTTTAGTATTTAAAAATGAGTAAATCTATTTTTTTTAACTTGTTAGTTTCCATTGTTAACATGGTATACATTGCTATAAAGCTCTTAGGGGTCCCGAGTTTGTAATGTGAAGGGAACCCTGACAGCAGCTGCCTTAGACAGTTAAGAGACACTGGAGTTGCAGCTCCCTGGCTTTAACCTCAGCTTCCACATAATATGAAGTCCATGCTACACTAGGAACTAGCCGGAGTTAGTGCCCGGCTTGGCTTTTCCACTATTCTTCTACCTCCCCCGACTATGAAGTGCCTATTTGTACAGCCCAGCCCCCACTGTCATCAGTCAACCCATCAGCCAGAAAGCTGTTTCAATAAGTACTAAACGTATTCAGTAATCTAAAAAGGAAAACATGATGTTAAAATGGTTGCATCACTTTTTCTCAATTTGGTGGTTATGTTTATGATGGTTTGAATTCACACATAAACTGCATGGTACACACAGAAGTCATTTTGGAGCCACCTAAAAGAGATGAGATCCATCCTCTAGCTGAAACAGAGGGCAGGTTTTTGACCAAAATGTGGAGGGATCTTTGGGTTGTACTACCAGAAATAGAGGATACGGCATACACCAAATTCACTTTGAGGGTGGCTGGAGGTGGGAGGGCAGTTCAAAGAAACAATCATTATCCAAAACGTTTGAAACTGGGGTATAAGAACCTCTCTTAGAACTGATGGAAACCTATCATACATGTTATAATGCTGGGTGAAGACGACACTAGATTCAAACACTACACCTTCCCCCCAACTGAAGCAGCCAACAACTTCGCCCGAGAAACTTCACGTGACCTGTCTCAGGTGACCTGTCTCAGGGCGGACAGTAATAATTTTTTTTTATTTATTTATGATGGTTAATGATTCTCTCAAGCAGTATCAGGCAGGCCAGCTAGTTTATTCATATTAAATCTAAACCTTCAAACTCCGGCTTAACAGTAACATAAGAAACCTTTAAAGACAATAAATCTTGCATGAAATCAGAGATGGTTTAAATCAGTCATATAACTTCTAATATTCTGGGCTGGCAACTACAGCATGACAATGTTCAGTTCAGTTACAAAACCACATGTTGATTTTCCTTGGCCACCAACTCTTAAAACAGATCTGAAAAAAAAAAAAAAAATGCAGTTTGACAAAGGCATTTACTATATACGCACCACTGCCAGTCTCAAGTGATTCAGATGTCTTCATCCCCCAGGAACATTTCTAGGAAGGACTGTTTTTTAAGGTCTGCTTGCCTTGGTGGGTATGTAAGAACACAGA